ATTTCATTGCAAAGGTTGTGCATGAAGGACCAAGTTCATTACGTGACAATTAACAAAGCTCATAGTTGATCAAGAGCAGATGGCAGAACAACCCAAGTTGAGAGCGAGTTGTGTTGACTGTCGATCAATAGAACATCCTATACGGGCCGGAGATATCTTTAGATTGCCTTATGAGGACAAACCCTAGGAGAAGGGTAGAGATAATCGACTTCTTGGGGTTGATTTCAGTTAAAACATACGGAGCTGGGAAAGGATTTTTACGTGCGCAAATAAGATGTCGGTGCGACAAGGAGATGGTTATGGATTAAATATACATTGGTTATGGGATTAATGTGTTGTGAGCAAATGTGATAGAAAAGGATCGAATGTTTTTGTATGAGAAGAGCAAACAATCATGCTATTAAATACTTTATTTTTAAATTAGCGAGATAAGCAAAACACACATATCAGCGAATATTATTTAATGCATTGTCAATTCGCTAACGTGCTACATCATTTATGCACCATTGTTTTACAGGATACCTGTAAATGTGTGTTGATCCGCAGGTGTTCTTCATCGACCTCCCGGCTCATCGTTTATATTAAGTTGATAACTCCTTAAAGTAGTCATTCTTAAAACTTCGCCTTCGATTCCTCCATGCCTTCCTTTGATTGCTGCTTAAATCCGTTTTTGTATCCGATTAAATACATTTAAATCTCAATTTCCTTTCCTTGGGGCAGTGAGTGCTTTTGATACTCGTGGGACTGGTACTGTAGTATCATTCAAGCAATTCTTAGTATAGGTATGGGCATATCCCTGTTGCGAATATGATGGTGCCTGGTACAGGTAAGAGTTTACTTGATACAGGTATGATATATTTTTGAATATGAGAGGTAAGTCAAAAATAAGTATGATAACAGATGTAAGAGTTTAACTGTCAAGGTATGTTTGGTGTTTATGTAATCAGCAGCCAACTGCACCATTTTATGAAGAAGCGTTATTGATGGCACTGATTGAGTGGATCGAGATGAGATGTATTCACCGTGAGTTGCAGATGCGATTAATTGGTCGTGTATCGTTTATATTTGTGGCATTCGTTTGGGTCGTGGTCGATAGCGCTAACGCTTTTTCACATGGATCAGATAATTCATCGCAATTCGATTACTTCACATTCACGCAAATGTATCCGACAGACGTTTGTTTGATGGACAACGATTGGAGAAATGGTTCTTGCTTGGTACCGCAACAAAGTGCACTCTGGACGATTCATGGACTTTGGTGAGGCATTATTTAGCTGCATTCACGGGAACTGGAGGAGTTATCTTTGAGAATGATCGGATGTGGTTGTTTTGAATTCGATGTTTTTTGACGTTCGGTCGGTTCATTTGTTTATTTGTTTTGTCATGATGAGGTGTGTTCATTAATTGTGATCGATTTGTTTATTTAATCAACAATTCCAGCTCATTGTGAGTTGACGCCTCTCTGTTATCACAAATAACACAAATACCACATTCTTCCTTCCCTGGCATCCTTCTTTCCGCGCACCTAATGATAAAAGTATTGGGAATCACTTGTCTTCATGAAATTCCAAGTTTTGTTATGACTGAT